CTTCAGTTAACTAATTAAAGTTACTAAAAATTTCATTTATGATATTTATTAAATTACTTACATTAAAATATCCTGGAACTCTATATTGATTATGTACGTTCTCTCTGTTTTCAGGTAAGCAGAGGCGCACAGTTGATTCATCTGTTAATCGTGAGTGGGGCAAATTAATTTTCCAAGTAAAAATATTCACCAACATTAGAACTACCAAACTGTCGAATTTTTTCTTTCTGCAATTATTAAAAACGTGCGAACATTTTCATTATTCTCTAAAGAACATAAAATATACGATTACTCGTTTTCACCATACTATTGTAATTCTAGTTGACGCATAATTATAATAGTAATTAATTTAACTTCAATATTGTCGTAATTATATGTTTAAATTGAAGATTGGTAGTTTCAGTGTTGAGAATATTGTTCCACATCGTTCAACATGGATAAAAGATTAATGCTCGCATCGAGAATTACTCCCCTAAACCTAATCTTCCCCTAATGCAGACCGTGAAAAGGGTCTTCCCGTGTGGTGTTTTTTTTTTTTTTTTTTTTTTCTTTGAACATGATATCATTGGACTATTCATTAGAAGAAAATAGTTTTTTCCGTTTTTTAGCAGTGCAGACCCGACTTACTACTTTTTCCATCCCGACAACCAATTTAAACGAATGTTCGATGTTTACGTATAGTAAGAAAGGATTATAAAATTAAATTTTAAAAAGTATCTTATGCGTAAGGCTAAATAATTACATTTGAATCCTTAGTATTTTTATTATAACAGATTATTAATTTTAGTCGATTCATAAAGATTCTTATTACAGTCTTTAATCGTTGGCTTTTTTAGAGAGTACTCGAGCAACTATAGTATTTAAGATTAAATGAAATAATTTCACACGTTCAGAAAAAATTATTTCACATTCCTGGCTATTTCTTTCTAATTGTTAATTTCTCTTACGTCAGTATGCAAATTCATTAACGCTGCAAATTAATTGATCTTTCTTAATATGTAACATTCTTGAAAACCTGCGTGACAAGTCCTCAATTTTGTCAGCAACAAACAAACGCTGATGTTCGATTTAACACAAAAGAAAATAGTCCCAAAAATACGCTAGAAATTCCTCGTTCGCGAAACGTTCCACTTTCCTCCGAGAATTTCCTCGATGCGATCGCGAAGGCGCTGACTTTCCTCTCCATTCGATACCGGCGAGTTTCAATTATCCTCGGAACGACCTCGATTCGCGTTCACCGGCTGTCGTGGCCTACTCAGCCACTCGTGATCTTCGCTATTGTGACTGTCTGGG